AAGGAACTCATGCAATATTATTCAAAATGGGTGACCCTGGAGTGAAGTATCTCAGTCACAAAAGGACAAATACTGCATGGTGCCACTGTTGTAAAACAGGATTGACATCGGGGTTGGGGGGAAACTGAGAAAGATGGGTTCTATAATGTATATTGCATTGAAACAGATGAAGGAGAAAACTGTTTAAAAGGGATGTGATAAAGTATTTTTGTCATGATAGAAGTCCAAAGCGAAGGCTGCATAGTGGAGTGGACTTGGAGGGAAGGATTGTAAAACAATGAAAGAATTTTTGTTTTACTTTTACAAGAGGGTAGCGTACTAGGGACAGTGCAACAATGAATGAATGGAAATCCAAAGTCTGTAAATTTTCATTGACATTAATAATACATTAAAAAAGAAAAAGACAAAATAGTGAAGGGCAATGATGTCAGTCTGGAGACTAAGGTGCGCCTGATACAGACCATGGTCTTTGCAATTACTTGCTATGCATCAGAGAGCTGCACAATGACTAGGGATGATAGGAGAGTTGATGCTTTTGAGTTGTGCTGGAGAAGAATATTGAATATACCATGGACTGCTAGGAGAACAAACACGTTCGTCCTGGAGAGGGTGAAGATGAGTTGCTCCTTGGAGGCAAGGATTCTAAAGCTCCATCTTACATACTTTGGACATGTTGCAAAGCGGGGTCAGTCCTTGGAGAAGGATGTCATGCTTGGGAAGGTCGAGGGACAGCACAGGAGAAGACCCTCGATGAGATAGATTGAATTAGTCACTGGGGTAATGAGGATAGGTGAGTCGGAGACAATAAGATTGGCAAGGGATAGAGCAGGGTTTAGGGCTGTTGTACATGGGAACGCTATGAGGCCATGAGTCACAGGCGACATGGCACATAACAACATGAGACTACTCAGCAGAGCCTCAGGGGCTTAATAATAATTCAAATTCCCAGCGTTCATTGAAGGAGCCTTGGTGGCGTTGGCCATTCGAATCCACCAGCTGCCCCAATGGCGATAGGTAAAACTGACTCGGATTTGGGGATTTAATGCTCAATGTGGGAAGTTTAAACTCATTGTAGAACGCACTTATGTATTACAATGCAGCTTTATTTTCTTCGTTTTGTAGGAGACTGAGGCTCGGGAAGGTCACATGAACCGCCAGTGCCAGAGGAAGCACTTTTAGGAAGTGGTGGGGCCGATTAGCTCCGCGCTCAGCACCTTCTCAACCAAAGAGTGCGCGAGGTCCGATGCCTGGAAGCCGACTCTCCAGCGCCTCCTTCTGACCGGGCTGGGATTCGCACGCCCAGCGGCCGTAGGGGCAGGGGTCTCTGCCCCTCCCCGGGGGCGGGGGGGCGAGTGACGTCACGATGGCTTTAAGACCCCCCCCCCGGCCCGGCCTCAGCCCCATCACACATTCTGCGGCTTCCCACCTACTACTTCTCTTTTCTCTTCCTCTGGTGAGTGGAGGCTAAATCGGGAGGGGGAGTGGGACCCTGCAGTGGCGCTCTCGGCGGCGTGAGTCGTGTGGACGACTTGGCTGGCGGAGGCATGTGCCTAAGCGTGGGGGGGGGGGGAGTAAGGGAGTAAGCGGGAGGGATGGGGAGATCCTTGGCTGCGGAAATGTTAAGCACCCCTCCTCTTCCCCCGGGACAAAGACTTGGAAACCTGGGGCGCCCCTCCCCCAACTACACTGCTTCTTGGGGGCAGGGATCCCTTCCCCCATCATGGTCGAGGGCCGCCCCGGGGCTGAGGCTGGGGGCACACCTGGGTTCAAGGACAAAACCGAACCTAGAGAGCAGGGACAGGGAGTGGCTGGCTCAGGCGTTTAATCCGCGGTCTGGCCCCAATCCGGGGATGGCATGGCTCAGCCCCACCCAGCCACCTTCTTGGGACCTGATCGCTGGAGACTGGCCGGGTGAGCCTGCCCCCAGGCCACACCGAACCTCACGGAGTTTAGGTCCAACCAGCGAGGACAGACCTTTGAACCCTGAAGCGATCCGTGTGCGGGCAGAAGGTGCCGAGCACTTATAGGTGGCTGGGGCGTAGAGTGCGGCATGGCAGAGGGGGGATTTCTAATGCTTTTTAAAGACATTGATGTCCTCAGGTGACCCTGGCCTGACATTTTAGAGGAAGGACGCACAAGAAAATGAATGCCCCAAACCTCGGGGCCACTCTTTGCTAAAGGCAAATTATTAGACTTTTGAAGTGATCTCTTTTTTTGTCCCATTTCTCTGAATTGGCTGAAACTGGGCCTTCCCGACACCTGGGGAGAGGTGCTGAGGCGCCCTGTGGGCCCAGAAGAGAAGGTGAACGGAAGCCAGACTCCAGGAGGTCTGGGAACCAGAGCTTTTGGTCTTGAAGTTCACAGGGCTATCTTGCCACAGGGAGCACTTTTCTTCCCTCTTTTTGCCACTTTGCATTTGGTAAGCCTAAGTAAAAGTGGACTGGCTTTTTTGTTTTGCTGTTTTATGTTCCTTGTTTATTTTATTTGCAACTTCAGCAGGGTTGTCTGCTTACTCTATGGTAAACCAGGACCTGGCTCAACAAAGGAGAGGAAAGAATGTGAACATGTCCATTTTGCTGATGGCAAAACTGAGGTTCAGAGTGCCTTGTCCACATTCCTGCACTAAGTGTCCATGTCCTTAAGTGGCCTGTACTGTGGTCAAAGCTGGTGACCTGGGGTTATTGGGAACAAGATGGGCTCAGTGTTGTTCTGCTTTGCCACCTAGAGCTTCAGCCCCTCGCCATGGCCTCCACTGGTCTGCAAATCCTGGGACTCGTCCTGACGCTGCTGGGCTGGGTGAATGCCCTGGTGTCCTGTGTCCTGCCCACGTGGAAGGTAACCGCCTTCATCGGCGACAACATCATGTTGGCCCAGGACACGTGGGAGGGGCTGTGGATGTCCTGTGTGGTGCAGAACACTGGCCAGATGGAGTGCAAGGTGTACGACTCGTTGCTGGGGCTGCCCCAGGACCTACAGGCCGCCCGTGCCCTCTGCGTCATCACCCTCCTGGTGACCCTGCTTGGACTGCTGGTCTGCATCGCGGGGATCAATTATACCACGTGTGTGGAGGACAAGGACCTCAAGGCTCGTTTGGTGCTCACCTCTGGGATCATCTTCATCATCTCGGGTGTGCTGGCCCTCATCCCGACCTGCTGGACTGCCAACTCCATCATCCGGGACTTCTACGACCCTTTGGTAGCTGAATCTCGGAAGCAGGAGCTGGGGTCCTCACTCTTCCTGGGCTGGGCTGCCTCCATCTTGTTTTTGCTGGGTGGAGGTCTCCTGTGCTGCACATGTCCCTCTGGGAGATCCCGGAGCACGAATCATTATATGGCCCACTACTCAGCCTCTGCTCCACAGGGCACCCCTCGGCCCTCTGAGTACCCCACAAAAAATTATGTCTGATGGGGGTGGGGGCATGGCAGCTCCCTGAACACGAGCCCCTCTTCCTTCCCCAGAACTGGACCCTACTCAGGCAGTGATCCTCAGCAGCTCAGGGTTGTGTTTTATCGTTTTTCTTTTGCTTTTTTTGCTGACTTTTTTTTAGTCAGTTTTATTATTCAATGGCTAACCCCCTTGAGAAGATAACTTCCCACACTGCTGGTGCCTTGTTCTCATCTTATATGGAGCCAAAGATAGGATTCTTTTTTTTGAGTTTCTGAATCACCTCATCCCCAAGACGCAAGACCCCCCGGAACACACACAAACCTGTGTGGGACTGCTCTCTGATACCACTGCTGGGATGTCCTCCTAGATTACCGAAACACTTGTGAACACACCCTGGTACCCTTGCATCTAGTAGAACTACAGAGAGTTACCAAAGAACCTAACTCCTTGTGTCCCCCCACCACCTGCCCCCAATGTTACCATTTTCTGTCTCTTACTGCATCCCATCTACTATGGACATCTACCCTCACATCCAGTCCCCCTGCATACTTGTGCCTTGACCCATTTAGTATTTAGTAAATAAAGTGTTTTGCAAACAAGTCTTTGATGTTGATAGAGGGGTTGTGGGTGGGCGAGTTGTGCTCCCATCCCAAAGGGTCTGGGTTCAAATCGACCAGCTGCTTCTTGGGAGAAAAGATGGGTACCTCCTCTCTGAAGGCCACTGGAGAGTCAACTGAGTTGGTCGGACACATCCAGCAATGAGTTCTGTTGGAAGAAATAGGTACCCATTCTTCTGTCTGTTACCATCATGCCAAGTCCTTTACTGACTCCCACACTTCCCTCTCCCAGGGCTTTGTATGACCTGGAGGAGGTCCCATGCTAAGACCCTCAATCCCTGGCTGTCCCCTGCCCAGGGGCCTTTGCACACAGGTCTGAAAGAGACAGCCATATAACAAATGCTCTTTATTCCTGACTGGAAATTGGGGGATAGAGTGTGAGGTTATAGGCGGGGCTGGCCAGGTGGGGGACCTGCTCCCAGAGGGCCTGGCCAGAGCCTCTTGGATGCTGATGCTGGCTGGGCCAAAGGCCAGCTCTCTGGACAGGCAGGTCACAAGCTTGTCTGGGAGCCAACAAGATACTGCCTAAGGGTAGGGAAGGACCTCAGCTTGTCCTGGACAGCAGAAAAAAGAAAGCGGGACCATTAGAATTATGGAGAGCTAAGGTAGGGGTGGGTCAGCAGCATTGCCCCATCTGCGGGATAGCCAATGAGGAGGGGCCTCCATTTGGATCTGGGTTCAGCCAGGCTCTTCTGGAAAGTAGAAGTTGGTAACAACATCAGACCAGCCTTGAAGTGGCCAAACAAGGTCAGGGCTGAGGGCCCAGGTGGGTGGGCGGGAGGCGGTGGTGGCAGGAAGCTGGGAGGTTGATGATACCCACAGTCTCACACGTAGTCCCTCTTGTCCAGACCGGATGCGCCTGAGCGGGAGGGAATGGAGTAGCCCAGCCGGGGTCCACGGGGCCTGTCGATTTGGGGTGGGGGGCACGTGCAGCAAAGGAGCCCCCCACCCAGCATGAGCAGGGCAGCTGCTGCCCAGCCCAGGTACAGGGAGGCCCCCAGCTCACGCTTGAGTGCCTCAGCCACCAGGGGATTATAAAAGTCCTGGATGATGGCATGGGCCGTCCAGCAAACGGGGATCAGCACCAGCACCCCGGAGAGGAGGAGGATGGCGCCCGCCGTAAGCACAATGCGGGCCTTGGCACCCTCATCCTCCATGCATGTGGTGCACTGGGCCCCTGTGATGGCCACCAGCAGGCCAAGCAGGGCCAGTAGGAGGGCCACGATGCAGAGAGCGCGGGCAGCCTGCAGATCCTGGGGCAGCGCCAGCAGCGAGTCGTACACCTTGCACTGCATCTGGCCAGTGCTCTGCACCACACAGGACATCCACAGCCCCTCCCACACCACCTGGGCCACCACGATGCTGTTGCCTATGAAGGCGGTCACCTTCCACAGGGGCAGAGCGCAGGACACCAGGGTTCCCAGCCAGCCCAGCACAGCTAGGGTCATGCCCAGCAGTTCAAGGCCCGTTGAAGCCATTTGGACCTCGGTCGGGTCTTCTCAAGCCAGACAGTCTGTTTGATGTGGAGGGGTGATGAGAGGCCAGGTGTTCAGAAGGGGAAAAGGGTCCTTGAAGAGGCCAGGCCTGTCCTTACATCTGAGGTCCTCCCTTCTCGCAGAAGCCTGGGACACCAACCAACCTCGCAGGCCAGGTTCAGCTCAGTCCTGCAGCTTGTGTCCCCACTCGGTGTTCCCCACCCAGTAACGTTTCACCAAGGCTGCCCCTTGTCCCCAGAGCTCAAGTGGCTTCAACCCACCTGTGCTGTCTGCAGAGCACCAACAGCTCTTCTGGTGGCACCTGGGGACTCTGCTGCTCCTGCTGGCAGGCGAGGTTTTAAAGTTGAAAGAGGAGGGGCAGGGACGGGGAGGCGGGGAGGCAGGTGAGGAAGAGCTGGGAGCCTTGACTGGGGAGAGGGTGGAGCCTGGTTACTGGGGGCAGATGGAGGGCTTGGGGGGGTGCACTTTGCCTCCCACATAATAGTGGAAGGGATAGGACAGGAAAGGACTTGGTGTGTGGCAGCCTGGGGAACAAGGAAGAGACAATCTGAAAGGCTGTGAAGTCAGCACTGGGAAAGAGAGAGGAATGAGGTGGGGGCTCTCCACCCCCACATATCCCCTCCCTACCATTTTTGTTCTCCCCTCCATTTCATGATGCAAATGCCCCCAGCCCTGCAGTTTCGCTGACACACACCTGCTGCATCCCCATGGGGACTCTCCGGAATCTGATCTGTCTCCAGTCTCAGTCCAGTGGCCCTGAGGGAGGGCTCCCGCCCGCCTTGTTCCCCAGGCAACAGGTGCCTGGTGCCCAGCTCAAGTAGCATCGTCTGGGCAACGGCCTAGAAACCACCACCACCCCCCCACACACACACACACATACACTTCAACAAGGTTACCTAGCTCAGGTGTGCTTGCCCCTCCCCCACCGCTGAAACTGGGGAATTGAGCTGATGCTGAAGGTCCCCAGTGACCCAGGATAAAGAGCCTGTTGTGGAAGTACAGAGCCCAGGGCCCATGAGTAAGGGGGGGGGGAGGCTGGGAAGCGGGGAGGGGGGGGCCCAGGCGCTGGCTCAGCCCCTGTAGGCTGGTTAGGAGGGAGTGAATGCACAGCTATTAGGCTGACTGACTCACTAGGTGGTAAGCAAAGGGGTAAAGCCAAGTGCCCCTAAACTCTTCCCCCAGTCAGCAGGAAAGACTTCCTTTCCCTAAGACCCTATCCCACCTGAAGACTCCACTCCCTGTGGGCTGCAACCTGAGTCACCCAGGACCAAGGACCAGATTCTACACCTTCTTCCAGGTCAGATCACAGAAGGCCTAGGTCCTTAACGCAGACTCTTTGGAGAAGCCTCCTGGGACCCTTGGAATCAACTTCATAAGCATGTGCCATCATCTTTTTTTTTGAGAGGTCCTGAGCTCACTTAAACCCCTCCCCAGATACAAAGAGCCTCAACATATTGCTGTCCCCTCAGAAGGGAGATGACAGTGAAGATTCCTTCCACTGACTTGCCAGGATGGTGGTAGCATTGGAGAAAGGCACAGGGGGTCTGGGTCTCTCACAGTCCTTCCAAGGTCTGGGAAGGTGAAGGGAAGCCTACACTGACCAGGACAGCGGGCAGGGCTAAAGCAGTTCCAGGAACACTGTCCTTTCCTGGGTGCTCTGAGTGGCCTGTTCACATGGGACCACTTAAAAAATTCAGACCCAGGATGAGGTACATTGGTTCCGAATGCATTTTGTGGAAGTCTGTAACTTTTGTCAGATTTGTAAAAGGGCCTAGGACTCCAGCAAACTTGTGAATCCACCCCTATGAAATGGGGAAACAGGCCTTTGGCAAACAGTGTGGAATGTAGCCTCCAGGGAGCTTCTGTCCCTCTGGCCTCTGCTGGGGTGAGGGGAAGCTCCTTTTCCTTTTCTCCACAAAAATCAGCCCTAACCCCCAGGGACCTGCCATGGGTGTCAGGATGCAGGTTCCCCAGGCCCTTGCGGCCCTTCTAGTTCCTGAGCTTTGGATTACAGTGTTGAAGGGGCAGGGGGAGGGGATGACTGAGGAGGGCAAACAGAGGCCAGCCCAGCGTGGTCTCCCTTGCCAGCCAGGAATCCAGCCACACAGGTTTGGACAGGTATCAGGTGCTGCAGTCTGGGAACTTGAGTCTTTGAGGGGCCCCTCAAGACCATCTTCAGCTTCCCCATGGGCTTCTTTCTGCCCCTAGCCCAGGGGTCCCCTCTTGCCTAGGGCCTACTGGATCAGCTCATCCCTGTGTGCCCAGGATGTTCCCAGTCTTAGCTCTGCAAGCCCTGTGTTCCAGGAGTAGGATTGCTGGTCACCTGACAGAATGTCCCTGAAATGGCCAAGCAGTAATCCGGGGGGGCCAAAGCCACAGTAGCTTCTTAAGGTGGGCCACATGTGCACACACATAAATATAGGTCAACACTGTACTGTTCCCAGGCTCTGGAATTGGGTCCAACATCCATTAACTCAGGTGAAGAGCAAAAATGCCCCCATGGAGTGGAGGCAGGTGCTCAGAATGAGGACACCCCACTAGGGACCATCCCCACTGAACTTGCCCCAAGGTACCCAAGTAGAACAGTGCCCTCCTGAAATCTTCCTTTCCCCCACATTTTTGATAAGGGAGCTCTGAGACCTAGAGGGTAGGGAGTTGCTGGCTAACCAGAGGTGGTGGCCTCTCTGGCCATTGGAATCCACTAACAGCTCTGGGGAAGAAAGATGGGCATTTGCCTTTCATAAAATTTACAGCCTCTGAAAACATGCTGTATGATTCCAATTCCATGCCAGTGAAGTTTTTTTGGGATTGTTTGGGTTTTGTGAGAAAAAAAATATCTCTGACTAAAACCGAGAGTAGATGTGGAGTGAGGTGTGAGCAAGAGTGTGATGTTGGTGCAGCCCATGAACCACCCCAAACCCGCCCCCAGCAGCTGGTCAGGACAGAACTCCCCAACATGTAGGCAGGAGCACTCCCCTACCCCATCCTTGGCAAAAAAATCAGTGAGCAGAGGTCCTTCTTCACACACCAGTCCACCTGCTGAATTGGGGAGCCTAAGGGTTAAAGTTGGGTTGCTATGGGGATGCGGTAGGGCAGGCATACCATTGATATGGAGGAGTGGCTCCCTCCAGCTCAGTTACCACCTCAAAAGCACTTTCAACACATATATTGAAATCTCCACCCCCATCCACCTCACCAGTAATACAGGGGAAGGGGAAGCAGGAAGAGGGAAACCGAGGCTGGCCCCTTTACCAGCCATTTAACAAAACCCAAAACTAAACCCACTGCCACCCAGTCAATCCTGTGGATGCTGTACTACAGCTAGTAGAGTCTGTGAAGGGTAGAACTGTCCCTTTATGCTCTTTTCAGATTGCCTTGCCATTCTCCTGAGGCACTTCCAGTGAGTTCAAATCAAGACCTTTCTGTTAGCAGCCCAGTGCTTCTTACCAGCCCATTCAGGGGGACAAAGCCCAGGTAAATTTCCCTGGAATGACAGAGGGTCAGGTAATCTGCAAGAGTCAGAGCTCCAGTAGACAGATGAGGGTAGGGTGGAAGTGGGTTACTCCAATCCTATTATCTGAGCACACAGATTGAACAGGTATGGAGAGAGGATACAACCATGACACACACCTTTCCTGATTTTAAATCACAAGCTCACATGCTCTGCTCGGACAACTGCCTCTTGATCTAGGGATAGGTTTTGAATGAGCACAACTAAGTGTTCTGGGATTCCCAGTCTCCTCAGCTTTAGCCATGATTTATTCTGATCCACATAATCAAATGCCTTTCCATAGTCAATAAACAGACATTCTTCTGGTATTCTCTACTTTCAGCCAGGATCCATCAACAGTGATGGTGCCACAGACTCATGAAAAGTCATTTGTGCAGCTGAACTCTATGAAGAAGAAAGTGGTATCAGGATCTGATCCAGAGGAAGACCCATTAATAATCTGAGTTATGCAGATAACACAGCCTTGCTTGCTTGCTTGCTGAAAGTGAGGGGAACTTGAAGTACTTACTGCAGAAGACTGAAGATCACATCCTTCAATATGGGTTACATCTCAACATCTACAAAACAAAAATTCTCACCACTGGACTAATACACAGAGATAAATAAAGAAAAGACTGAAACTGTCAATGACTTCATCTTACTTGGATCTACAATCAACACCCTTGGTACTGGCAGTCAGGAGGTCAGAATAACTGTTGCACTGGGAAAATTTGCAGTCAGGGACCTCTCCAAATTAATGAGGAGCAATGATGTCAGTTTAAGGACTAAGGTGTGCTTGATTCAGAGCATGATCTTTTTAATCACTTGCTGTGCATCTGAGAGCTGGACAATGAATAAGGTTGCCAGAATAAGGCTGATTGCCTTTGAGTTGGGATTTTGGAGAAAAGTACTGAATAACTGATGTACAGCCAAAAGAACAAACAGATATGTCTTGTTGTTGTTGTTATGTGCCATCGAGTCACTTGCGACTCTTAGTGACCCTATGTCTTAGAGAAATTAAAAGTACATTCAAGAGTACTCCTTGGAGGCAAACATGGCAAAGCTCTGTCTCACATACTTTAACCATATTGCTAGGAGAGGCTATTCCTTGGAAAGGGACATCATAGTTGGGATGGTAGAGGGCGAAAGAAAGGAAAACTCTCAATGAGATGGATTGACATAGTGACTGCAGCAATAGGCAATATGTTAGAGATGATAAGGATGGCACAGGATAGGACTAGATTCAGATTAGTTGTTTATGGGGTCGCTATGAGTCATGGCATAACTCACTATGAGTCATACTGTATGGCACACAACCATAACAACATAATCTGTCTAGCTTGTTCTAAGGGAAAGTTCAGTCACAACACAAAGAGAATGAATGATTTACTAAGAGTGCCCTCAGGGTCTTGAGATGGGGTGGGGTGGGGTGGGGCTGGGATTGTTTAACCACCTATTTTACTTTATTTTTTTGCTTAACCACCTCCTGACTAAGCCACTGACTGACAGAGAAGCCAGGTTCTGGGCACACTAAGATATGCAGGTGAAACTTAGGGGATGCAGGGATATTTCTCATGTTTTCATTTTGTAGATCAGTAAATCAAGGCTCAACTAAGGAAACACTACCAAAAGTAGAGGAAGAAACAGAATAAGTCTTGGGGACCCAGCCTTCAAAGCCAAGCCCCTTCCCCAGTCTCCTCTTCCCCTTCTCCAACTGAATCAGCCTCATTTCTCCTTTCTTTCACCCAAGCTCTAATGGGAGTGGGTGTTTGTTTGGTTGTGGAATTTATTTTTTCATTGGTTCAGGAGGACAAGAGTGTTTTGAAAGCATACGGGCAGCTTCTCTTGAAACTCCAGCGCAGGCTAACAATTAATAGCTATCAGTAAAAAATCAGCTTCCAACTATCAGTTTGGAGATTTCTTTGGAGGCAGGGTAGGTCCATGGTCAATGTTGCCATTATTTTAAAAATATCCATTCCTGTGTTTCTTTTTCTTGTGATTTCAGTGAAAGTTTATTTTAACAAAAATAACTGGTTTGCCATTAAACCATTCACCTCACATTTTGGTTTGTTTTTCAGTCCCCAAAAACGTTAACAGCACTTTCCCCACTTCCTCCCTGTGATTCCCATTTCCTTTCATTCTTCCCTCCTACCCCTTCCTGCCCTCTTGATTTTGTATGGTTGATTGGTGTATGTAGTAAATGCTCCCTTTACAGGCCCATCTATCATTTGGCTGAAAATTGAGCCATGCTAGTAAGTTTTGTTCCAGGTTTGATGAGAGTCTGCACTTCTTTCTGTTTACCATCAAGTTCTTAACTGAGAGGCAAAGAGCTTCCCAAAATGCTGGGACATGGAGGAGGGAGAAAACTGTTTAAAAGAGATATATAACTAGGTATTTCTGTCATCACAGGAGACTAGAGCGAGGGCTACATGGTGGAGGGGACCTGGGGGAGGGTTTGTAAAACAATGAAAGAATCTTTTCTTTTACTTTTCCATAATTTTTGGACTCATGTACTTATAACTTGTTAGTCAAATTTGTGTCTTCTAGGTTGCAACACCCCCATGATACATCTTCAAGGATATGAACATGTACGGCCAAGCACAATCAATAAGAGTGCATCTAAATTCCAAAATCAATCTCCATAATAGTCTATGTGTTTCCTACTGCCAAAGGGGCCCTTTAGAGTAGTGAGAGAAGATCTTCACCCTGAAACCCACAGCGTCCCTTTTCAGCAGGAAGTAGCTAAGAGAATACGCCATCCCCTTTTCCTTATGACTCAGGGTGAAGTCTCTCTCAGGGAGGAGTGATAGGGAATGGCAAAGGACACACTGACAAAGAAGATTAATCAGAACTGGCTTTGACAAGCACTGTGGCATTTGGACAAGAACAAACTGGGAGGAGGGTAGAGAGAATAGTGCAACAATGAATGAATGGAAACCCAAAATCTCTGTAAATGCTTATGAAAATTAATAAAATATAGAAAAGAAAAAAAAAAAAAGAACAACAACAACAACAAAAAAAATGCTGGGACATGGGAGTTACAAGCCAAAAAGAAATGAGAATACAGTTGAATAGAATTCCTAACTTGTGCCCTCAGCAGGACCTGACGGCAACGTGGTTAAAGCCTTGGGGTGTTAACTCAAAGTTGAATGTTCAAATCCACCAGCTCTTTATAAGGAAAACTGTGGCCGTATACTTCTCAAGATTTTCAACTCTGGAAACATTATGGGGCATCTGTGCTCTGTCCCACAGCGTCACTCTGTGTGGAGAAGGACTCTTACTACAGTGGGTTTGGGGTCCTCAGCCCCGGCCTCCAGGCCTCAGTCAGAGGCAAACTTAAACCACCGGAAGACCTGAGAAAGAGGCTCAGTCAGACAAGAGGACGCTGCCTGAAGTGAACTGTACCCTCCCAAACCCATATCCCCGTAACCTATAAAAGTGACCTTGTTTAAAGAAGGCTGCTTGCAAATATAATTAAGGGAAGGATCTAGAAGTGAGGTCACCTTGGATTTGGTGTAAGCCCTAAGTCCTCTTGATGGCACTCAACAGCAACATTAGTTGTCCAATGCTTCTATACCAAGAGTGGATGGCTTTAACAAATATATTTATTGTTTAACATTCTTTAACATCATCACTGGGCCAATTGGCAGCATCAGTATGGATGGTGAAGAGATTGAGATAGTTGACAGTCTTAGTTTACTTGACTCCAGTCAACACTCATGGTACCAGCAGCCAGAAAATCAAGAGACGAATTGCATTGGGAAAATCAGCTGTGAGTGACCACCCAAGAGTACTGAAGAACAACAACGTCAGGCTGGAGACTAAGGTGCACCTGATCTAGGCTATAGTCTTTGCAATTACATGTTATGCAACAGAGAGTTGGACAATGAATAGGGATGATAGAAAGAGAATTGATGCCTTTGAGCTGTGATGCTGGAGAAGAGTGTTGAATATACCATGGATTGCTAGAAGAACAAACAGGTTTGTCCTGGAAAAGATGAAACCGCAATACTCCTTGGAGTCAAGGATTCTGAAGCTTCGTCTGACATACTTTGGGCATGTTGCAAGGAGGGACTGGTCCTTGGAGAGGGTCATCATGTTTGGCAGGGTGGAGGGGCGGCGAAGGAGGGGAATGGTGGGAATGAGCGCATCTGAGATGGCGAGGTTGGCACAGGACAGAATGGCATTTAGGGCTCTTGTACATAGGGTCACTATGAGTCTCAAGCAACTCGATGGCACATAACAACAACATATAGTTGTCCTTAGGTCAAAAAGCTAAAAGTCCAAATTAAGGATGCCAGCTCCAAGGGAGGGCCTGCTCCCTTCCACTCCTGAAGGTTATTCCTTGGTGGTACAAATGCCACTCCACCCTGACCCCCCCCTTCTGACCTTTCCTTTTATCTCCAGTGAGAGAAAATAGATTACAGGCCACACCTTAGGGCAACCCCCTTTCCCTCCCTTTAGGGCAGTCATGGGTTTAAGGAGTGTGGAATTCCACCCTAAATGCTCTGCTTTATCAGATTTAGGCAATATCATTGCATCAAAACTCATTGCCTTGGGGTTGGAACCAATTCATAGCTGACCCTCCAAGGGTTTCTGAGGCTGTAAATTGCACAGGAGTCTGCCTTTTTCCCACAGAGCTGCTGGTGGATTCAAACCATAAGTGAGCAATGCCCTTTGGGTTAACAGTTCAATTCTTCATGGATTAGGCCACCAGAGCTCCCTATATCATTACATAGCTTTCACATGTCATCATATACATGTATCTTGGGGTGATATATACACCACTAAACCCTCTGCCACTGAGTTCTGACTCATAGTGACACCCCTCACCCCTTCAGGCTTCTGAGGGTCTCTACAAAGAGGAGCCTGCCCATCTCTCTTGGAGCCAATGTGGATTCAAACTGCCAGCTTGTGGGGTAGCAGCCCAACACATCAAACTTCACCACGGGAGCTCCTTCAATCAGTGTGTCTTCATATGAGAAAGAAGAGGATTTGGGGGGGGGGGCAGGCAGTGGAGCGCGGGGGGGGGGGGGGCAAGACAATTTGAGACCAACGCACAAGGGAGAACATGCTGTGAAGATGGAGGTGGACATTACAACCACCTGGGCCCACCAGGAGCTAGAGGAACCAAGGTGAGGCCCGCCCCTAGATGCCTTTTGAGGGAGCCTGGACTACCACCTTCAAGACTGTGAGGAAATGAGTTTGTCTTGTTCTAAGCCACGTGGGTTGTGGTGCAGGGGCTTGACAGCCGCAGTCCCAGGCGCTCTAAGATCACCCAAGGTCAAAGTGCACCCGGGCCTGGCTTCCTGATACCACTTCTGGCCTGCAGCACCACAGCCACTGAGATAGGACGTTTGTCTGCTGACTTAAGTTCCAGCTACCTGGGGAACAAAGGGAACATTATTCTGGCTTGTATGCACTAGGGAGAAACTCGCCAGGGCAGGGGCAGGTCAGGACCCAGAGAGGCGTTTCATTTCCTCAGGAATCAGTGGGAGCACTCTTCAACTGTGGCGATGAGTCACAGCCCGGTAGGTGACCCTCTGTCCCAGCCTAGTATCGATCCTCCATCATCGCTTCGTGGCCACCCAAGCCAGCCACATTTGGCTCTATTGTAGGTCAGTGCTTAACTTTTCAAGACAGGGGGAGGCAGTATGGAAGCTTCCAGAAACACATACACATTCAAATCAAAGAGTGTCTTAGGCAAGGGAACTGCTTTATTTCATAAGGGAAATGGGGTGTTTAAGGGCTTAAACGTCTGTGACCTTGTTCCCCTTCCCTGGGCTGCTGCCCTGGCCTCCAGCCAGCTAGCTCCCTTATCTGCAAGGGGATGAATTACAGTTTCGAATGGTCCAGGAGTAGACCTGTGACCGAGTAAACCCCAACTCATGACGACCCTCTATTGCATTTCCGAGACTATAAACGGTTATGGGAAGAGACCATCTTTCTCTCAGAGTGGGTGGTGGACTCGAACTTATGACTCGATAGCAACCTGAGGTTTTGCACTATACCACCAGGACAGAGTAATGGGGGGAGGGGGGAAGATTCGATCTTTTAGAGTTTGTTTTCAGACCCTCCTTGGGGTGGTGCTCCGCTCCGATACTCCCTCCACACTGCGGAAAGCCAAGCCTCTGGACATGTCGTGGGCCCTGGGCACACTCCCCAGGCCCCAGTAGGATGCTGCTGCTCACCTGCGTGCAGTGAAGGTCAGTCAGCAGGGCGGCGAAAGGAAGAAGTGAGGGGACAGGGATGGCGAGAAGGGCGGCAGCGGCCAGGGGTCCCGGGGCGTGGGCGGCGCCAGAAGGTCGAAGGGGGAGGGTCGCGCCGGGAGAGCGGGCAGAGGCAGCGGTGGCGGCTCCGCGATCAGGGGAGGGCGGCCCCGCGCACCCACTGGCCCGGGGACCTCGGCGATGGCGGTTTCGGGCAGGCGCGGCAATGGCAGGTGTGCAGGAGGCGGCGCAGGCGCAGGCAGGCGAGGTAGCCCCTGGAGGGCCAGCGCGGCAGCGGGCGGCGCAGGTGCCGAGACCTCGGGAGGCAGCTCGGGGAGTGTCAGGTACGCGCAGGGACCCCAGGGCGCCAGGGGCTCCGGACGCAGCGGTAGTGCAGGAAGGGGTGGGAGCGCGGCCAAGGCGAGCGCCGAGGGCGGTGGCGGCGTGGGACTCAGGCCGGGCGGCAGACCGGGCAGAGGTGGGTGAGGTAGCGACTGCACGAGAGGCGGGGTCCGCGGGGGGCGCGGCCGGCCCAGCCGCGAGGGGACCCGGGAGCGGACGAGCCGCGAGTGCGAGCGCGAGCGGAAGAGATGGGGTTCCAGTTTGTCTGCCTCGCGGTCTCACTCCCCGGCGTCGTGGCCTAGCAGTCCTGGGTACCGAACCCTGAGCTTCATCCAGCCCAATCAACGGGGGCCGCCCTCAGCCGCTGCCAGCCAATCAGAGGTCGGTGCGACAGCTGTTCTACGGCTCCCGCCCGCCAACTAGTGCCCCCGGAACCAATCGGGGACATCAGCGCGCTCTATTTAGGTCTTGAACCTTGTCATCACCAGCCAATCTCCGTATCCCGCGGAGTCACAAACAACACATACACATGCCCGCACCTAACCCCACCCCACCGGGTCTTTAGGTTCTGCACACGCTCGATCGGCGCCCCCACCTGGCCGTATGGCCCACTTTGCAGTTGTAGCACATGCAGTTATCCCCCTGCCTCAATGGTTAGTTTGGTTAGTTTTGTCCATGGTGATAATGCAATGATGCTCCTGGGTGGATAGACCAAGGTTTAAGGTGATTTCCATTTGGTCATTATAAAACTCACTAGTGCCCAGTACAATCCCAGAGTCTGACTGCTTCATCTTTCTTCCACCCAGTAGATTCTAAGTTCTAATTTTGGGACCTTTTACATTTGAAGCCATTGAACATACCAGAGTTTGAATCAGACACACCTAAGTCTTTAAAGTGGCATCTTTAGTCCTTAATAACGAGGTTCTTGAGGAAGAAAATAATAATTTTTAAAATAATAAGAGGCCGTTGGCAGCAGATTTGCTCATTGTTTTATTCTTGATTGCTACTTCCATAGGTTTTGTTTGTGGATCCAAGAAAAACAACTTCAATCTGTATTCAGTTTATTTTATTGTTCCAGTTGTGAAGGTTTTGTTTTCTTTCTATTGAGAAATCTTTACTAAATGCTTCAAGTCTTCTTCACTTTCAGCAAGTAAATTAGAATATAGGTTTCTTTATTGGGATAATTAGAACTTTATTAGGAAAAGGTTTCTAGTGGGACAAAGTTCCTCCTAGGTGTCATCACCCATAACATTTACTGAGATTATCTGTTCACTGGCTGCTGCATACATATGTCGGTCACTAAATACATGTATTTAGTGACATAAAGGGGAAGCTCTGGTGGCATAGTCCATGGGGGGGTTTGCTGCTAACCTAAAGGTGACAGTTCTCTGGCAGTTTGAATCTTACCTTCGGCTCCATGAGAGGAAGATGGACAATCTCCTTCCATGCAATTTATATTGTTGTTATGTGCTATCAAGTCGAAACCAACTCATAGCTGGCCCCTCCAGCAGGTTTTCAGAGGCTCATCTTTCTCTTGAGGAGCACCTGATGGATGCCTTCACATTGAAAGTACAGCTCCTTGCCATGTGTGATTAATAACTTTTGAAAATCCACTAGAGCTATGACTCAGTTCTGCTTGCAAGGCAATGAGCTTGAGGTTTGTTGGTTTATTTTAAATTATATGATGTAAAAGCTATGTAGTGATCCCCCACAATCTGATTAACCAAATAGTTGTAAAAACATTAAGGGTGGAATGCAGCATTTCTTAAGCCTATTGTAGTAAAGGACATTTCCCTAGGGTGTCCTGTAAGACAAACAGAGGAAGCTGGACTGAGACAGGTGAACCTCAGTATCATCCAAAAAGAGTTTCCACAAAGGGAATGTATCTTTTAGACAAAGCCCCCTGTGACATCTCTATCAGAGCAGCACTAGAGAGCAAAGACAGTCTATTCCTCAGTAAAAAGAAGAACTTTACACTGTGGCTTATTCTACAGTTTGGGTCAGAGAGAGACAAGATGAAGTTATTTGAATATTCTGAAGAATCAGTAAGTCAGTAGAAAGGCAAAAGTTGATAATGATTCTCAAAGGAACCAATCAAAGAAGGTGAGGGCCAAAGCCATGGTATTTTCAGTTGTCTTAAAATCAAGCAAAAGCTGAACAATGACTAGGAAGACTAAAGAATTGATGCCTTTGTGTTATGGTGTTGTCAAAGAATATTGAATATTCTGTGGACTTGTGTTATGCAGATTACACAACCTTACTTGCCGAAATTGAGGAAAACTTGAGGCATTTGCTGCGGAAGGTCAAAGACTGCAGCCTTCAATATGGATTGAAGCTCAACATCAAGAAAACAAAGATTCTCACCACTGGACCAATTGGCATCTTGATAAACGGTGAAGAGACTGAGATTGTTAACAGCTTCAGTTTACTTGGCTCCATAATCAACACTCTAACTACCAGCAGTCAAGAACTCAAAAGATGAACTGCACTGGGAAAATTTGCTGTCAGGGACCTCGCCAGAGTACAGAAGAACAACGATGCCAGTCTGGAACCTGATCCAGGCCATGGTCTTCACAATTACTTGCTATGCATCAGAAAGCTTGACAATTACTAGGGATGATAGGAGGAGGATTGATGCCTTTGAGCTGTGGTTCTGGAGAAGAATATTGAATATACATACCATGGACTGCTTGGAGAACACACAAATTCGTTCTAGAGAGAGTGAAACCAAGCTGCTCCTTGGCGGCAAGGATTCTGAAGCTCCATCTGACATACTATGGGTATGTTGCAAGAAGGGACCAGTCCTTGGAGAGGAACATCATGCTTGGAAAGGTGGAGGGACAATGAAAAAGAGGAAGACCCTGGATGAGATGCATTGATTCAGTGACTGACGTAATGGGGGTAGGTGTATTAGAGACGATGAGGTTGACTCAGGATAGAGAAGGTTGAGAGCTGCTGTAAAGAGGGTCACTATGGATTACAAGCTACTCAGCAGCACTTAATAACAACAACATGGACTTCTAGGAGAATGAAAGAATCCAGCTTAGCAGCAGTACCATCCAAATGTACCTTTGAAGCATGAATGGCCAAATTTCATCTCACATGCTTTGGATACATTATCAGGAGTGGTCAGTCACTGGAGAAGAACACCCTCAACAAGATGGACAGAGGGAATGGCTGACACATGGGCTGCAACACACCTCTGACCAGAAGGATGGTGCAGGGTCAGGCAGCGCTGAACCCTGTTGTTCTCTTGGTTAACCCTATGAACTGCAACCAACTCCATACACCCAACAAAAAGCTAAACAAGAAACCTAGAATCCAATGTTTCAAGGAACACAGGACTTCAATATTCAGTATGGATTCCATCTCAACATCAAGAAAACAAAAATTTCACAAGATAAAGGTAAATAGCCCAATTGAAAAATGGGCACAGGATATGAACAGACACTTCACTGAAGAAGACATTCAGACGGCCAACAACACATGAAGAAATGTTCAAAATCCCTAGCTCTAAGAGAGATGCAAATCAAAACAATTATGAGATGTCATCTCATCCCAGTCAGAATAGCAAATTTAACAGAACAGCAAACATCAAATGTTGGTGACGTTGTGGAGAAACTGGAACCCTTATTCACTGTTAGTAGGAGGGTAAAATGGTGCAACCACTGTGGAAGGCTGTATGGTGCTTTCTCAAAAATTTGCAAATAGAAATACCATTTGAACCAGCAATTCCAATACTGGGAATTTACCCTAAAGAAACCATAACTGCTTCCTGAGCAGATATATGCACACCCGTGTTTGTCGTGGCTTTGTTCGCAATAGTAAAGACTTGGGAACAACCTAAGTGCCCATCAAAAAACAAATGGATAGTGAAGCTCTGGTATATTCACACAATGGAATTCTACGCAACACTGAAAAACAAAGAACTCATGAAATATTATGCAAAATGGATGACCCTGGAAGACATTATGCTTAGTGAAATATCTCAGTCACAAAAAGACAAATATTGCATAGAGCCACTGTTGTAAAACGGGGCTGACATTGGGTTTGAGGGAAGACAGAGAAGGAAACGGATGAGGGAGAGAACTGTTGTTTGTTTGTTTGTTTGTTTTATTATTTGTCTGTGTGTACCGTCAAATCAGATCTGACTCGTACAGGAGGAGATTGTCCCTCCTTCCCCAGCAGAGCATCTGATGGATGAGAGAACTGTTTAAAAGGGATATATGATTGGGTATTATTGTCATTACAGAAGTCCAGAATGAAGGCTACACAGTGAAGTGGACTTAGGGGGAGGGACTGCATAACAATGAAAGAGTTTTTCTTTTACTTTTCAAAGAGAAGAGTGAATTGGGGGAGGGGAGGGGTGGGCAGGAAGAAAAATGCAACAATGAATGACTAGAAACCCTAAGGCCCTGTAAACTTCCATTAAAATTAATACAAAAAATAGGGCGAGCTCTGGTGGCCTAGTGGCAAAGAAGGTGTACTGCAATCTCAGAGGTGCACGGTTCAAATCCGCCAGATGCTCTGCCAGAGAAGGAGGAATAATCTCTTCCTGTACCAGTCAGATCTGATTTGATGGTGCACACACACACAAAATAATAAATAAAATTAAATTTAAAAAATTAATAAAAAAGAAAACAAAAATCTTCACCGCTGTCAACAATTTCTCCTTAATCTTGTTTGGATTCACAATCAACACTGTGCAGTCAGATACGTCTTCAAAATACTGAAGAGCAAGGATATGAGTTTAAAGACAAAGGTCTGCTGGGGGGAGGGTAGAAGCAGAGGGGTGAGGATGGGCAGGGGGATAATCATACAGTCACACAATTTGACTGGTAGAGGGAGAGGTGAGTAAAGGAAATGGGAAGGATTTGGTGTGAAAAACAATGTATATGAACTTTGAAAAAAAACAGTATAAAATAAAAATTAAAAAACAAACAAACAAATACAACAGACTAAGTTGTGCCTGATCCAAGCCATGGTTTTTTCAGTTACTTGCTGTGCATCTGAGACTTGGACAGTAAATAAAGACGACAGAAAAAGAACCAATGCCTTTGAGTTGCAGTGCTGGAGAAAAGTACTAAATATTCTAAGGACTTCCAAGAGGACAAATAAATATGGCATAGAGAGAGTGCAGCCAGGATGCAGCTTAGAGGGAAGAGTAGTGCAGCTTGTCTCACATACTTTGGCCATGTTGCTAGGAAAGGCTATTTCTTGGAGAGAAAATCATGCTTGGAAGGATGGAGGGTCAGCAAAGGAGAGGAAGACCCTCAA